GATTAACCACCAAACCCCAATCTTTATAGACATCGTTAAAAATCAATTTGTTTCTAGAAAGCCAAATGTTCCAACACGTAGAAGCAAATAAACACTTCCAGATACGTTTCTCAAGCTGCTTGTATCTAGAGAATAACTGATAGAGAAGGTCATCCAGTTGACAATGATCAAGTGCACAAGATTGGAGTACCAGCTAAGGCTATGGTGTGCTATGTAACATGAGATATAAATCATAACAGAATTAGTTAGTAAGCGAGTGAGTTGGTTAGATGGTTAGGATATTGTTAGTATTGTATATGGTATATATACTGATGTAAATAGATTGAAATTCATTCATTCAATAATATACAAACTCCCATATATTTCTTCACGGTATTGGAGTTTTTTGAAATTGAATTCAACTTGTTCTTTAACTGATGAATATGAGAACGAGAAAGTGAAGTAATCGTTTGTTGAGTGAGAACCAAACTTCAGAACTGGTTTGACAATGAAAAACAGTTGTAAAAATTACAGGTGAAAGTGGTGGTTTTTTTTTTTTTTTTTATCCTTCTTATGTTGCATCTATTTTAATATATATTAGAGACCGGCACACACGAAAAAAAGTTATCAAAATAATATTATGAAAAAGATATATAAAAAAAAAAATAGCATTAAAGAGTAAGATTAACAATAACTTCAATCAAATTGAAACTATCAATAATACTTAGAACCTCAACCGTCAATTAATTTGTGGCCACTCATTATTATTATTTTTATTTTTTATTTTTTATTTTTCATTTCTCCCTCAATTATTTTGTGACCACTCATTATTTTTATTTTTTATTTTTTATTTTTCATCTCTCTCTCCTCCCTTTCTCTCTCTCACAAAATGTGGGGTAGGGGAGATCCTAGGTCTCTACTATGACTGCTGAAACAATATACAATTTTTTTAAAAAGCATTACAATATTTACGGACAACCTATCAGAATTTGACACATCATATATAGGAGTAGGAAATGGGACAGCTTATTTAATGACTGATAAAGAGTTAGGGTGTTCACGGACCGGTTATGCGTGGTTTGGGTGGCGGGTTGGCCCTGCCCGATTGGGTATGGTTTGGGAAAAAATTGGAACCGTGTCCGTCCGCAAGGCGGGTTGCGGGAGCGGGTCGTGCGGTTGTGCAGGCGGTTTGTAAATTAGATATTTTTTTTTTTTTTAAAAGTTGAAAATTTTGTTTTGGACTTTGCTTTGGGGGCCTTCTTCCCTTTTTGAGATATGCATATGCTTTTGGGCGAAAAAAACAAAAAAACAAAAAAAAAAAGGGCATGATAATGAAACACAAAGCAAACCCACAATCAGATCAACAAACCATAAATATATGAAACACTTTGTGAAATGAAACACTTTGTGCAATGAAATACTTTTTTTTTTAGATCTGGAAATCTCCAAATCTGGTTTGTGATTGGCGATGGCAACAGGGAGAAAAGGAGAGCACGGCGGCGAGCAAACAACGGCATGGCTGGGTTGATGATGGAGCGGTGATGGAGCAAGGGATGATCTGCGAGAGACGACGGCGTCACAGCAAGAAGAGATGAGAGAGATGGCAACGGGGAGGAGAGGAAAGAGACCGCGAGTAAGGAGGCAAGAAATGATGGTGGTCACGGCGACGGGGAGGAGAGGAGAGAGGAATGTGAGATGAGAGAGAGAAAGCAAGACAATGGCGAGATGAGAGAGAGAGACAGAGAGAGAGCTGGGTAGAGAGAGATGAGGACCAAAGAAAGGATTTGAAGTTCTGCTCAAAAAAAAATATCTGGGACTGGGAGTGGGGATTTTTATTTTATTTTTAATTTTAAGCATGATTTGCGGGCAGATACGGATCTGTGCGGGTAGGGTCGGATCTGACCCGAACTCGAATTTAGATAGAAAAATAAACTCGCACCCACCCTATTTACGTGTACGGGTAGGGTCGGATTTGAACGGATTTTGTGAATTGAATAAACCGTTGCCCATCCTAGTAGTACAACTTCCTAATAGCTTAATTATGGTTACCGTAAGATAAATTGTAATCAATTAAATTTTGTTTACGAAAACTAGAGATAATTCCTCTTCTCCGGGAGAGAAAAAAACAAGGTCTGAACTTCATCTTCTCCGGCAAGGTACCTAAAAGGCTGAACCTCAAATACTCTCCTTGCAACTTCAAATCCTTCATTTTCTGCTTGAGGCGATCCGGAGAGTAGGTTTGGAAAGAGCAAAGTCAGTCCAGTAAATGATAACTTTTTGCTTCAAATGAGTTTTTATTAATTTTTTTAAGATGATGGAGTTTTTATTAATTGAATTGAAACAATGAAATTTGAAAGACGTGAAAGATTATTTGAGTTAAAATATTTAATAAAAATAAAATAGGTAAAAACAGTTAGTTTTATTCGATAAAAGTTAAATTGACTAAATAATTATAAAAAAATAAAAGAAGTTAAATAAGTCAATAAGATAAGTATCATATTCAAATCATAAGTATTTCACTTTCTTTCTCATAACTATCACATATAACTCAAAAAAAGTCAAAAGTTCTTTCCAAACGAAACTAATTTAGCCATGCTAAACTAGCCGAAAAATTAAAAAGTCAAGTTAAATTACCTCTTCTCAAACGAAAGCAAAATATCATATCCAACTTATAATCATTTTATTTTTTCTCTCATAACCATCAAATCAACTACTCCATGTCCCAAAATATTAGTCTCTTATTCCATTTTTCATTATCCCAAAATATTAGTCATTTTTCAAAAATCAAGTACAAAAATAATATAAATTTCTCATTTTGCCCTTCTTTTAAATTTATTAACAACATAAAAAGTACAATTATGACATTGATATTCATCAAAAAATGTACTATCAAAGGGTAATTTTGGAAAGTCAATTTTTTTTGAAGTGCAATAATTATACTACCAAAAAAAGTTGGATTCCCCAAAAGGGACTATTATTTGGGACGGAGGCAGTATTAAAAAAATTAACTATTTTTCTAAACATAACTTTTTTAGTCAGGCTAAAATAATTAAAAAAATTAAAAACCAGCTAAAATAGTTAACCCAAACAAGGCCAGTATAAATGGCCTAAAGACCACCAATAATCACTCATTCTGTAAACTCTCTCTCGTGGAACTTGGGACTAGGGGTGTGCTCCTTTCAAGTCTCAGCTTCAACTCTCCTCATTTGCAACTTGAAATTTAGCCAAAAAGCACTACTAAAAGTCGGAGTTTTTGAGACGGTCTTAAACGTAGCAAAAGGTTCACATATCGTCGCAAAAGACCTTTTGCGACGGAGTAGTGACGGGAAATAGGGGGTTGCGGAAGGGGGCGTGATAAAAGGTATTTGCAACGATTACAAACCGCCACTTACTTTCCTATAGCGACGGTTAATCAATGATTTTTGTGACGGTTTAACCTAACACACAAAAAAAGGAAAAAAAACTTCACTTTTAGTGACGATGTTGATTTTCATTGCAAAAACTTTTTTTTGCGACGGTATTAACGTCGTGAAAAGTATTATTAGCAACAGACTACAAAATCGCCAAACAAATAGAATTAAATTAATACCATATTTGCAACAGTTTAAACCGTCACAAAAGAATTGAACTAATATGAATATGCGACAGGTTAAACCGTTGCTAATAAAATGTAAGGAATTGGTAATTACTTTGGAGACTATTTGTTATTATATATTTTATTAATTCATTCCCTGTACAAATTATAAATATTTTCTAAACAAAATACATCCACATCCACATCCACATCCACAAAATCATATACCAAGAATGATATATATGTACTCTCTAACAATTGTCAACCAAATATTGTTTACAAAAATATATAAACATCCTTCAACAATACTAATACTTTTTTATATTCGAGAACTCAAATTTTTGTATCTAAAACAAAACAAAAGTATTGACAATACAAATAAAAAAACATATATATTGTAGCTTATTTTGAAATCAATAGTAAGCTCCAATATTGACATGCGAAGATATCATCATATACTCAAAAAGGTTACATCTACAAAAAGTTTAAAAAAAAAAAAAATTCATCATTTACAACATAATTAATTTCAAGCTTACAGAAAATGTAAAATATTTGGTATTTATTTCAAAAAATAAATAAATAAGATTTTAAACTCCAATATCAATATGCGAAGATATATCATCACGTACTCAATAAGAATTGTATCTAAAACAAGTTTTCGTAAACGAAAATTAAGCTCTATATTCAAAATCGAGAATTAATTTCCAGTCTCGTCTTCTCCTACAAGTCATTTGTGCCTCGTTAATGTGTTTGTCAAGTTTCATTGACATCCTTGACCATTTTAGTAACAAGTGGAAATAAATGCTATTAGATCGCCAACGCTCAAGTACAAATTATTTTATGGTTAAATTTTGGACAAGTTTTTCAACTAGATTCAGGATTATTTTGTATGTATATTTATCTCAAGATCATCAAATCCCATGTCTCATTTGATTCAGGATTATTTTTTTAAAAAAAAACTCTACTATTTTTGATAGTAAAAACAAGATTAATCATTTCTATTGACTGAATAACATTGACATATTTAAAATTATAAAACTTGAATATAGTTAAATTTTCAAATTAATTATTAGTTTTGCATACTCAAATGTATATAAAACAAAATTATGCTTACACCTCAAATGCATATATAAGGCAACTAGTAATCTTATAACATTAATCAATTTTTATTTTTATTTTTTAATAACATTAATCATTAGTTTTGCTTTTTCAGACCTCGAATGCCCTTTTAGACTAAGTTTACGCCTTTTCAACACTAACTCACAAACTCTAACTCACAAACGATCCTTGGCCCTACAATTACACCATGATTCATATCTAACTATCCAGCCATTTTACTACCAAAAATAGCAGAGTTTTGAAAGTTTAGCCATCATAAACAATTAAAAATACAAGAACTTCAAATTTCTGTCCAAAGCTGAAGTTGCAGTCTAGAGCAAAAAACAAACAAATTGAATGAAAATAAACTTGCAAAAGAAATAACTCTAATTTTTCAGAAACACCAAAGCAATAGAGCTATTTAATTAAACATGGCCCTACACATGGTACACTGTAAACAGTACAGACTACCCTAGTTGTATTTATTGGAAAAATAAAACATCCACTATTTATTTAATTTGAGAGGGATGGATAGAGAAAGAAGAGTTCCAGCAAAAGAGAAACATAATGCCTGTCTGATAAATGTGGATTTTCCACCCATGTTAGGCCCTGTGATATTCTGGAACCAACTTTTTCCCCTGACATGTTGTGATGAAAATCAAAATAAGCAACTAATGAGCCATTTTATTTAAAAGACAAAGAAGTAAGATAAAGTAACCATCCCTTAGATTGCATAAAAACTCAATAGTTTACAATCAGTTGGGATAAAATTCGCCCAATCTTGTGCCTCAACACAAGGATGTCTACTTCCTTCTAATACAATATCTCTCACATCCTGTTATGGCCACAATACAATTAGCATACCTATATAGCAAGTGCATCTTTCTAACAAAATAGAACATCAATATTGTTGGAAGAGACCAAAAGAAGCAAATAATTTGTAAATCATTACTGAAGTGGTGATGCCTGGTCGTGTGTAGGGAGTGGGGCAACTAATAGCCAGATCAGCACAACTAAGACATCCAATTCAGTAAGCAACACAGCTAATGACTCAAACACCTGCACAACCAAAACTTCCATCAGTTTAAAACAATAGCAAGATAAAAGTAAAACTGTATTTTATTGTTCATGTTACAAAATTTTGTGACGTTATTACAAAAAACATGTTATATGCATCTTGTAAGTGATACACACACTATCCTTCTCCCTTTTCTTATTAGGTGTCAAAATTCTGGGCAATGAAAACTATGATAACTACTTTTTGTCTACTCAATACAAATCAATATTACAGTCCATAAATGATACATGATCCCCCACAAGTTTGTAATGCTAACATCAGCCTCTGGTAAAAGCCAGTAATCTGCCTCACTCTACAAAGACCATAGGAAACATTTAAGAACCCAAAAAAAATGTCAAAACCACGTTCCTCGCTTTATTTAGACTTGTTAAACGGGGGGCTATAAAACTTGCAAGCTTTCCATTGACTTGGATCACCACTAGTAGTAAAACTGGCTACGAATTGTTGGAAAAGCCACAAAAAGGCAATAATTATTCTTTAAGGCGCACAAAATCCAATTCCAAAACCAAACACAACTCTCCCACATGGAGTAAGACCCACACATTTAATGGGTTCCACCCAAGGTTTTGAAAAGTGATTGCGGTCGCCGTAACGGTGGCGGTGGCTCGGTTGCGGTTGCGGGGTGTAAGGCCGTAGCACAACGGTTGGGATAACCGGAACCGTGAATTTTTTTATTTTTCGCACAATTTGAAAAAAACTTGTCAATACGCACATTTTTTTTCCATGATTATATTTATTGGGTTTTAAAATAAATATGGATCAATTTTTATAAATTTTTAAGTTTGATCCAATATATTTTATATTTTTAAATCACTATAAATTGAGTTTTTTACATTTTATTTTAATAATTAATGACTTTATATTTTACAAAAAATAATCACTAACTATTATATATAAGATAAACAATGACAAAAGTAAGAGAATAAATAAAAGTCTAAATATATATATATATATATTAATCAAGCCAAATAGATAATGACCGCACTTATTATTATTATTATTATTTTCAGACAATATATAAATAGACACACAAACAAAATGGTTGAGTGATAATAGCTGAATAGAATATCATAGGTCTTACAACTTCAACAAATCAATAACATGTTCTTCATCTTCCCTATTCTCTCTCTATCTATTGTACCTCCATCTTCCCTCTTCTCTCTCTATCTCTTTTCCCTCATTTTCAACTTTTTTTTTTTTTGAAAGAAGCAATTCGGAACCGTTACGTAACGGTGCAGAATAGGCCGTTACGGCCGTTACAGCACCGTTACGACCGCCATAGCAGCCGCTATGGCCGATACACCTGTGAATCTCAATCACACTGCAAAAGCGGCCGTAACGGGTGGCGGTAACTACCACAACCGTTACGTAACGGCGTTACGTAACGGTTGCGGCCGCTTTTTAAAACCTTGCATGAAACTAAAGTACAAAAACAAGAATAAGATAGAAAGTGCAAGAAAATAAGTAGGAGATAGAAAATGCAAGAAAATGAAAGAATTGAAATCTAACCATTTTCGGTTAGGTTACAGCAAAACAATATGAAACGAAAGCAAGAAAATGAATTTGAAATAGAAATGAAAGAATTGAAAATTTCCCTTCCAAAGAAAGAGTGAACTTCTTGATTTCCAAATTTCCTCTTGATCACCTTCAAGGTTATGAATTATGATCTTAATCCTCATTTCAAGAGCTTGGAATTTGAATTCCTCTTCTCCGGGAGAGAAAAAAACAAGGTCTGAACTTCATCTTCTCCGGCAAGGTACCTAAAAGGCTGAACCTCAAATACTCTCCTTGCAACTTCAAATCCTTCATTTTCTGCTTGAGGCGATCCGGAGAGTAGGTTTGGAAAGAGCAAAGTCAGTCCAGTAAATGATAACTTTTTGCTTCAAATGAGTTTTTATTAATTTTTTTAAGATGATGGAGTTTTTATTAATTGAATTGAAACAATGAAATTTGAAAGACGTGAAAGATTATTTGAGTTAAAATATTTAATAAAAATAAAATAGGTAAAAACAGTTAGTTTTATTCGATAAAAGTTAAATTGACTAAATAATTATAAAAAAATAAAAGAAGTTAAATAAGTCAATAAGATAAGTATCATATTCAAATCATAAGTATTTCACTTTCTTTCTCATAACTATCACATATAACTCAAAAAAAGTCAAAAGTTCTTTCCAAACGAAACTAATTTAGCCATGCTAAACTAGCCGAAAAATTAAAAAGTCAAGTTAAATTACCTCTTCTCAAACGAAAGCAAAATATCATATCCAACTTATAATCATTTCATTTTTTCTTTCATAACCATCAAATCAACTACTCCATGTCCCAAAATATTAGTCCCTTATTCCATTTTTCATTATCCCAAAATATTAGTCCTTTTTCAAAAATCAAGTACAAAAATAATATAAATTTCTCATTTTGCCCTTCTTTTAAATTTATTAACAACATAAAAAGTACAATTATGACATTGATATTCATCAAAAAATGTACTATCAAAGGGTAATTTTGGAAAGTCAATTTTTTTTGAAGTGCAATAATTATACTACCAAAAAAAGTTGGATTCCCCAAAAGGGACTATTATTTTGGGACGGAGGCAGTATTAAAAAAATTAACTATTTTTCTAAACATAACTTTTTTAGTCAGGCTAAAATAATTTAAAAAATTAAAAACCAGCTAAAATAGTTAACCCAAACAAGGCCCAGTATAAATGGCCTAAAGACCACCAATAATCACTCATTCTGTAAACTCTCTCTCGTGGAACTTGGGATTAGGGGTGTGCTCCTTTCAAGTCTCAGCTTCAACTCTCCTCATTTGCAACTTGAAATTTAGCCAAAAAGCACTACTAAAAGTCGGAGTTTTTGAGACGGTCTTAAACGTCGCAAAAGGTTTACATATCGTCGCAAAAGACCTTTTGCGACGGAGTAGTGACGGGAAATAGGGGGTTGCGGAAGGAGGCTTGATAAAAGGTATTTGCAACGATTACAAACCGCCACTTACTTTCCTATAGCGACGGTTAATCAATGATTTTTGCGACGGTTTAACCTAACACACAAAAAAAGGGAAAAAAACTTCACTTTTAGTGACGATGTTGATTTTCGTTGCAAAAACTTTTTTTTGCGACGGTATTAACGTCGTGAAAAGTATTATTAGCAACAGACTACAACATCGCCAAACAAATAGAATTAAATTAATACCATATTTGCAACAGTTTAAACCGTCACAAAAGAATTGAACTAATATGAATATGCGACAGGTTAAACCGTTGCTAATAAAATGTAAGGAATTGGTAATTACTTTGGAGACTATTTGTTATTATATATTTTATTAATTCATTCCCTGTACAAATTATAAATATTTTCTAAACAAAATACATCCACATCCACATCCACATCCACAAAATCATATACCAAGAATGATATATATGTACTCTCTAACAATTGTCAACCAAATATTGTTTACAAAAATATATAAACATCCTTCAACAATACTAATACTTTTTTATATTCGAGAACTCAAATTTTTGTATCTAAAACAAAACAAAAGTATCGACAATACAAATAAAAAAACATATATATTGTAGCTTATTTTGAAATCAATAGTAAGCTCCAATATTGACATGCGAAGATATCATCATATACTCAAAAAGGTTACATCTACAAAAAGTTAAAAAAAAAAAAAAATTCATCATTTACAACATAATTAATTTCAAGCTTACAGAAAATGTAAAATATTTGGTATTTATTTCAAAAAATAATTAAATAAGATTTTAAACTCCAATATCAATATGCGAAGATATATCATCACGTACTCAATAAGAATTGTATCTAAAACAAGTTTTCATAAACGAAAATTAAGCTCTATATTCAAAATCGAGAATTAATTTCCAGTCCCGTCTTCTCCTACAAGTCATTTGTGCCTCGTTAATGTGTTTGTCAAGTTTCGTTGACATCCTTGACCATTTTAGTAACAAGTGGAAATAAATGCTATTAGATCGCCAACGCTCAAGTACAAATTATTTTATGGTTAAATTTTGGAGAAGTTTGTCAACTAGATTCTGGATTATTTTGTATGTATATTTATCTCAAGATCATCAAATCCCATGTCTCATTTGATTCAGGATTATTTTTTTTTAAAAAAAACTCTACTATTTTTGGTAGTAAAAACAAGATTAATCATTTCTATTGACTGAATAACATTGACATATTTAAAATTATAAAGCTTGAATATAGTTAAATTTTCAAATTAATTATTAGTTTTGCATACTCAAATGTATATAAAACAAAATTATGCTTACAACTCAAATGCATATATAAGGCAACTAGTAATCTTATAACATTAATCAATTTTTTTTTTTTATTTTTTAATAACATTAATCATTAGTTTTGCTTTTTCAGACCTCGAATGCCCTTTTAGACTAAGTTTACGCCTTTTCAACTCTAACTCACAAACGATCCTTGGCCCTACAATTACACCATGATTCATATCTAACTATCCAGCCATTTTACTACCAAAAATAGCAGAGTTCTGAAAGTTTAGCCATCATAAACAATTAAAAATACAAGAACTTCAAATTTCTGTCCAAAGCTGAAGTTGCAGTCTAGAGCAAAAAACAAACAAATTGAATGAAAATAAACTTGCAAAAGAAATAACTCTAATTTTTCAGAAACACCAAAGCAATAGAGCTATTTAATTAAACATGGCCCTACACATGGTACACTGTAAACAGTACAGACTACCCTAGTTGTATTTATTGGAAAAATAAAACATCCACTATTTATTTAATTTGAGAGGGATGGATAGAGAAAGAAGAGTTCCAGCAAAAGAGAAACATAATGCCTGTCTGATAAATGTGGATTTTCCACCCATGTTAGGCCCTGTGATATTCTGGAACCAACTTTTTCCCCTGACATGTTGTGATGAAAATCAAAATAAGCAACTAATGAGCCATTTTATTTAAAAGACAAAGAAGTAAGATAAAGTAACCATCCCTTAGATTGCATAAAAACTCACTAGTTTACAATCAGTGGGGATAAAATTCACCGAATCTAGTGCCTCAACACAAGGATGTCTACTTCCTTTTAATACAATATCTCCCACATCATGTTATGGCAACAATACAATTAGCATACCTATATAGCAAGTGCATCTTTCTAACAAAATAGAACATCAATATTGTTGGAAGAGACCAAAGGAAGCAAATAATTTGTAAATCATTACTGAAGTGGTGATGTCTGGTCGTGTGTAGGGAGTGGGGCAACTAATAGCCAGATCAGCAAAACTAAGACATCCAATTCAGTAAGCAACATAGCTAATGACTCAAACACCTGGACAACCAAAACTTCCATCAGTTTAAAACAATAGCAAGATAAAAGTAAAACTGTATTTTATTGTTCATGTTACAAAATTTTATGATGTTATTACAAAAAAACATGTTATATGCATCTTGTAAGTGATACAAACACTATCCTTCTCCCTTTTCTTATTAGGTGTCAAAATTCTGGACAATGAAAACTATGATAACTACTTTTTATCTACTCACAAATCAATATTACAGTCCATAAATGATACATGATCCCCCACAAGTCTGAAATGCTAACATCAACATCTAGTAAAAGCCAGTAATCTGCATCACTCTGCAAAGACCACAGGAAAAATTTAAGAACCCAAAAAAAAAGGTCAAAACCAGATTTCTCGCTTTATTTAGACTTGTTAACCGGGGGGCAATAAAACTTGCAAGCTTTCCATTGACTTGGATCACCACTAGTAGTAAAATTGGCTACGGATTGTTGGAAAAGCCACAAAAAGGCAATAATTATTCTTTAACGTGCACGGAATCCAATTCCAAAACCAAACACAGTTCCCCCACATGGTGTAGGACCCACACATTTAATGGGTCCCACCTTATGTGAGAGGGTTGTATTCGATCTATTAGATCATGTACACTTTGAATTATTCATCACTATTCAAAACAACATTGATTTAAGTTGCTCTCCTCGGCAGATGGTATGGAGTTATTTAAAGAATGCCATCTGTTTGATTTGAGTTGATCCTGGCAATTTGTAACTCCGAACTAGGATAACTGAATTATATGTAAATTCAAGAAGTCAAGACTCACTTCAACTTCTAGAACAATCTTCATGATCCCACTCGCAAAGTCCGGTGTGGCATTTATATCTGAGCATATTCTATGGGCTTCTTCTTGCCCTTGCTACATGTTTGATTGGTGTGGCACCTATGCATATGATCTCACCTTAAATTAAAAAGCGGTGGTACACATTAAGGACATGTCTAGGATGTTTTCATGGTGATAAATGATTATTTATCTAACATATGGCGAGAGAGAGAGAGAGAGAGAGAGAGAGGGAGAGTGTGTGTGGAAACAAAGTAAAACACATGCATGCACATTTTCAAAATATGCACATTTTTAAAAGTTGTTCATCTATATCTAAGCCACTAAAAGTTCTGCATGCCAACAAGCTTATATATTTACAGCTTCCACATACCTTCCACATACCTGTATGATAAGGCCCCGTTTGTTTGGAATTATAGGGAGGGGATTGGGTTTGGTAGTGAGGAGGGGATTGAGAATGAGGTGTTTGTTTTGAGAGATAGGGAGGGGATTAGTAATCCCTTGGTATTAGTAAGGAGCAGGAAGGGAGATTGGTAAGGAGGAGGTAGAGATTGTATTAAAAAAATTGTGAGGGGATTAAAAAATTTTTTATTTTTTATATATTGAGAATTTTTTTTAAAATATAATGTTTAATTTTTTATATTTTTCTATTTGTTTTATTATTTTATATAAAAATAATTTAACAATTCCTCACTATCAATCCCCTCACTATTAATCCCCTCAGTAACAATCCCCTCACTATGAATCCCCTCCATTCTATCTCTGAAAACAAACGGGGCCTAACAGCATTCTTATCAATCTCCCCTGGCCTTGACACATCAACTCCCCTGATTAATCAATTATCTAGTAATTAGCTTCTCATGTGGTTGAGGTGATTACTAGAATTAATAAAATTATGAAAGAATGAAATATAAAACAACTGCCATCGAGTTCATGAAAATTTAGGAATACATCTGTACTTCCATCGATTTCTATTCTTGAGCTTCTTTTCGATGAGACCAATTCCTTCAAGGTCATTTATTATATCATATATATGCCTCTTCTGTACCTGTCACAACAGAAACCCTTTAATTGAATAAAACATCACAACAAATGATGCACAGATTGGTGAATAGTATAGTTACTTCTAATGTGTCAACAGCTTTATTTAGATCAAAAATACTATCTTCAACATTTTTTATTAGATTGATGAACTTTTTTGTTACTAGACCTAAACAAAAGTTACAATACATTGTCACTAGTCACTATGTTCTTGCTCTACTTGACAAGGAATATGAAATAGAGTCAATAAAAAAATAAATCAAGATACATTTACAACCAAAAAGAAAATTTTAAATTACAATTAAAAGAAAAATATGAAAATCAAAAATCAAGAAATAAAGGCTTAAGAAAAAATTACCGAGGGAGCTATCATAACAACAGGGACCAATTGTAGTAAGATTATTGCTTGAAGGAGAACCTGAAAATACAAAAATGTAGTTCAATGAAAAGTTGTAAACAAGAGGCATAGCAAATCATGAAAATATCAATTGCAAAAAAACATTTTTGTGAATATTAATAATCCTTCACATAGATATTTTGCAAAATTATAGGTATTGGGACCCAAAATAAAAGTTCAGATGGTAATACTCACCAACATTTGAAACAGCAGTTTGAGACCCAAATCTATTGGATTTTTCCATCCTCGACGCTTTTTGTGCCTTTCCCCAATTTCCTGATACAGGTGTTTGAAGAGGGCTGCCAACAGCTTCCACATATCCAGTACTAGGGTTCCAATCACTGGACTTGGCTACTAAGTCTGCCTTTTCACTCTTCCTCTTTAATGCCTAAAAGACACTCGTTTAGCTTTTACAATTTAATATCAGCAATATGGCTGCAAATTTAACAATACAATTCTATGGAAAAATCAATTGACATTTAATCCAAGGATAATATTATCATAATGTTCATAAATATTGATTGGCCTTGAAAACATAAACAACACAATCATCACAATTTTAATAAGACATAATATTACCGAGGCTTGACTATGAAACACATAAAAGCCTACCTTTCTTACTATTGTTTCAGTCAGAAAACTCAGTTAAAACCAGCCCCAAAAGCCTTGGTTTCATGGCTAGATATATTAAGCCCTAACTATAAAATCAGCATAACAATGTAGAACTAGGAAACCCCACTAATATAACTAAGCTTTTGTCCAAAATCTGTTAAAACCAGCTGTAAATTTTAGAGACAATCTTAGTGATATTTCATAATTTCCTTAAAATAATTGTTATCTTTCAGTTGGTAGTAGTCTTCAATAGCGTAAAGCAACCTGCAAAAAACTTCAGAGTGGCACAAATATATCTTCTAAAGGCATATTTGTCTTTCTACCAAACCTATAAGAACTGAATAATCCTGTGGACCTTATCAGCAAATAAAGGAGCACTGTTTATAAAGAAAAATTGTGAATCCTAAGAAATGAGTCATAAATATAAGTTGGAACAACATTTAGATCATATAAATCAACAATGAAGCATCAATAAAACGATTATTACATCAGACCCAGTAACGAATCCCAAAAATACTAACTCGAATGACAAAACCAACCAAGCAAGCAAATTCTTCAATTCTGCAAACCGACTTCAAAATCAGAACTCAAACAGAGTCTCATGTATATATACATAAATCAAGGTTTCAACAATAAAGCATCAACAAAACAATTATTACATCAAAACCAATAACGAATCCACAAAATAATAACTCTAATGACAAAACCAAGCACTAAAATTCATCAATTACACAAACCCACTTCAAAATCAGAATTGAAACAGAGTCTCATGCATATATATACACAACAAACTCACCGGAGATTTGACCACAATAGCCTCGGGTTCCTTCAACCTGAGGTCGAGGGCCGGTGAGGAAAACTGGTGGTAGTCCCCAAATGGCGGCTCCATGGAGGAGAATGGCGGTTGGCGCTTCAAAGGCAGTTGATGTTGCTGTTGTGGCACGATCTGCTCCGTCAGATGATTAGCTTGCGAAGTCGACATCGAAATTGAGTGAACTCAAAAAGCTAACAATCTGTTAAAGGACAGAGAGATCGATCAAGCCCTCTTTTTTGGGGGGATTTGGGAGAGAAGAATGGGGAATTGGAGAATCTGAGAAATTGAAAAAGGAGGAATTGAATCGAAGGGTGAGATCTGGATTTGTGTCATCGAAAAGTTGTGTGCAAGAGTATAGAAAGTCAATATGCCAGCGATCTCAATGTCAAACCCCTTCGATTGCGTCTTCTCGATTTCGGAGAATGGCTGCTGGTTTGCGATAGTGATATAAATGGCGGTGGTGGTCGTGGAATTGGGATCCTCCCCTCATCTCTCTCCTTCCTTCCCTCCTTGCAACGTTTTTAGGTCCATTTTGAGGCCTAATTTTAATAATTTGAATTGTTTATATTTTAAGATTTATTTAGTATGTTATACTTATAAAAAATTAAGTTGATCGAATATTAAAAAGTATTTGTTCAAAAAACTATTTATTAAAAAATAGTTTGTAATCCTAATTTTCTGAACGCATACTTTCTGATATTCGATCAATTTGATTTTTTACAGGTATGATATACTGAATAAATATTAAAATATAAACGGTTCAAATTATCAAAATTGGGCCTCAAAGTGGACCCGAAGGCCCCTGCAAGGAGGAAATGAATGAGAGAGATGAAGGGGAGGATCCTTGCTCGGTGGTCGTGTGCTCATGTACCGATGGCGGTAGAGAGAGAGAGGAGGAGGAGGAGGAGGGCGTTACAGAGAGATAGGGGCGTGATAGAGAGAGAATGAGGAGCCTTTTTTCTTTTCTTTTTTTCTTTTTCTAGTCTATTAGCCACGACACAACAAAGGCCATGGCAAAAAAAAATCTTTTTGCGACGGAGTAGAAAAGCCGTCTCAAAAAAATAGGCCTTTCACAACGGCTAACGGTTTGCCATTGCAAAAATCATCCAACATATTCTTTACTCTTTTTGAGACAGAAATTGTCGTCGCAAAAGGTAACCATTGACGACTGGATATTAACTGTCGCAAAAGGCTACTTTTTGCGACAGAAAATATGCCATCGCAAAAAGTTCCGTGTCTTATACCCTTTTTCTAGTAGTGAAGTCACTATAAGTTGTCACATCACTCTTTCTACTTTTCTGTATATCTTTTTGTAAAACGTCAAAAAGTTACTAAAATATCATGTTTTTCCAAACCAAAATTCCTTAGGCCTATGTTTGAGGGCATTGCTTGTGATTTGTGCCCAATCCATGTAGAGGAACACTTTATATAAGTCTTAGAATTAATCAATGTGCGTATAAACAAAATCGAACACCAGATCATAAATAAAAAATCTTCAAAAATAATATCCTTGGCTATCACATGGCTAAGCCATACACCAATTACCAAATAATATTTTCCCAGTTATTTCTCATGCCCTAATACAAAATCGTAAGTTGTTTTCTCAACCTAGCACAACTCTTTTACCCTTCGTTTGTGATGTAGATTGGCTTTTTGACTTTTTGATTATTTTAATCTAGGGCAAAAAAGTCTTGTTTGAGATAGACTTTTTGGCTTTTTTGACTTTTGTAAGAGAAAAAATAAAATGATTATAATTTGAATGTGACATTTTGTCTTATTAAGTTAAAAAGTCTATTTTATCTTTTTGTGACTAAAATAGCTTCAACCTAACCCAACCCAAACCTTCTTGCCAAACGGACCCTTAAAGCAACACTTGACCCAGTTGTAGCAGTGTTATGGGCATATAGCAGTGTTAGATGGGGACGTGAACCCTTACTATAACCTAGAATGCAACTCAAAAATAGGAAAAAAATTACAGAATGCTCCTAGAAAATTAGACTTGAGTTTCGTTTGTTTTGACATAAAATATTTTACAATTTTTTTTCTTCTTATAAATTGATTTTGCATAGAAAAATGCTTTTAATTTTGTTTTTGATATTTTGTTGACACTTGAAACAAAAACTATGTTATTGCCTAAAAGAAAAAAAAAATTGATTCAATAAAATGTTATTTATGATTTTTTAGTGAATTAAAATATTTATTTAAAAATGCTAAATGTGTTAAAAAGATAGTGAATAGGAGTCAATTTTGTAAAAATTAACTTACGGAATTTTCAAATGTAAGTCATTTTTAAAAAAATAATGCAAAAATATTTTCCGTAAAAAATATTTTACTTACTTTTTGTCCAACCAAACAATAGAAAATGAATAAAATATGTTTGTCAAAAATATTTTATGTCAAAATAAATGGAGCTTTAGTGTCTCAATTTCGACAAATTCTTGAGGTCTTTCCCAACTTGATTTTTTTTTATTAAAAATAGTGAAACTCAGTATCTTTTTTTATTAATTTTTAAAAAATAGGGTGGAAAAAAAAATAGTGAAAAAAAAATAGGGTGCACTCCAAAATTAAGACTCACATAATATTTTGAAAATATTGTAATAGTTTCGTATTACAAAATTTTTGACTCTTCAAATTTTGTAAATCTTCCACAAAGAATCCACTTTGAAGATTCAGCATCCAAGCGTCAACATCAATTATTGGCATCCTAGAGGAAAAAGACAAATTTTGTAGAAGATAAAGCCTTTCTTCAATAGTCAGAGATTAGCATGCCAAGAAAAGATAAATAGCTATTGTAAATATCTATGTCTGTAATTATTTGTGTCCATCAGTAATAAGGCTTCTCCTTCACTCACTACTTTAATAAAGCAGATGACCCCTACCCTGCTTTATTAAAAAAACGATGTGAGAATCCTTACACGTGTCCTGTAATAAATTATAGTGTCAAAATTTTATCAAAAAGGGAGGATTGAATGATGTGCGATGGGGCCCAAAGCAGTACCCGACATCATTATCCAAACCCCCTATTTGTTTTTATCTATGTAGAAAGTTTGTCAAAATAGGTATATAATTGTATACATATAGCCTTGTCTTTATTAGATTTTGAAAAAGCCAAAGTCTAGGCTTGAATAGGTTTTGAATAGGTCTTAGACTTTTAGGAAAAGTTTAGACGAAAGATGTTAAGCATAGATTTGGAGCTTTTGTTTTTATCTTCCTTTTGTGTTGTATAAATTGGCATTCATGCCAACGAAAGAAGCAAAATGAAAAATTCACCTTCACTCTACTTTGTAAAATTTTCCAACCCCTCTCAAAAACCTCTAAGTGTACCAAGTCCTTCAAAATTTCAGAGTCTGTAAATTAATCTTTATAAGTATATTCCTTATTAATATGAAGTGTGAGTAGTCTCTCTTTTTCCTTAAATATTTCAAAAGGGTAACTCTTTTATTCTAAAAATTTATTTTCTTTTTGGAAAAACTAAGTTTATGGAATGCTTGTTTGCTCATTAATATTACATGCTTTGCACCTTCGTAGTATCTGTTGTTTTCTATTTTATTTCTGAGTGACCATAGCTGAAGAGCCCGTGTGAGCCGTGGTTAGGCGTTTGAGGGCAAATTGTAGGCAGAAGGGGAAAGGTAAAAAATAGAGAATAAAAATATACTATGTTGAACGAAGCATAGCTTCAAGGTGGGAGTACATGTAATGAAAACAAACATTGCCTAAAAATAGTTTTGCCAAAGAAAAAGAATTTTAGAATAAAATGAGAGCATCCGAGTAGAAATATTAAGGAAATATTGTCCATAAAAAGAATTTAAAAATCAAACTTTATGCCCTTAGAAGAAAAACTTAGGATTAAAATCAAAATCAGTACTGAACTTATACAAGAATTAGAAGATCAAAAATTAAGATATCAATTTCTCTTATCATTAGCTTCTGGCAGATCTCTAGAAAATTATAGTTTAAAAATTTCTCAAATAAATAGACAGATAATTGTAAAACAAGAAGCCTTGCAGCTAGCTATACAACAATTTGAAGACTTATTAGCATAACTATAGAATTAATTAGATAATTCTCAGCCCAATTTCAAAATAATGGTAAACCACTAACTCATCTCCCCCAAAAATTGGTATCAGAGCAGTGTTCGGTTTTAGGACAGTTTAAGTTAGTTTATGCATTTTGCCTATGGAAATAGAGTAGTTTTTATTTTTGGACAATTTAGTTATAAATTTCATGTTATAGTAGTTTTTAATAATTTTAAAATAGGAGTTAATTTTGTGTATGAAAAAAGTAGAATATTTAGATTTAGAACTCAACAGCCATAACCATCGCCTTAACATAGATAAAAATAAATTTCGTTGTAAGTTTGAAGATACTTTTACACATCAGGTTCATAATGAACATAATCCTCAGTTAAATAGTATTATAGATTATCAGATTAATTTTGCAGAAAATATTAAAAAGGACATAGATAAAATTAGTAGTCTTTTTACTTCATGTATAGACTATCTTCGTAATACTCGCAGTATAATCAAAGATCAAGATAAAAAATTAGATTATATCCAAGACCAGTGTAGTTCAATTTTACAAAAATGAACAAATTTAAATTTAGAAAAATTTCCCATTAAGCTAGAAATAGAAACTCTAATTTCAGCCACAAATACTAGCAGCTTAAAGCAAATAGAGTTAGAACTTAAGCAACTAATTGAAAAAATTCATAGCCAGATAAATCAAATAGCTAAACAAATAGAACAAATTAATCAAATTCAAGATAATTTAAAACAGAAATTAGAAATTTTAGAACAACTAATAAGATCTTAGTTTACGAGTAGTGATAAAAAAGCTAATAGGGACTACCTGATTATTTTAAAACAAGCAGAAGATTTTCATAATAACCCAGAAGGAATCAGTAGCTATCAAGGAATAAATCAATCAGATAAAATATCAGTGAGACAAAATACTATAGAAATTTTATTTCTAATCAGATTGTGTGAAAAAATTGAATAACTATCAGAACAACTACACAGTGTAGAAAATCGTTTAGCTTCTTTAGAAAGAATAATACTTCAAAAAGGAAAAGGAGTAGAAGGCCAAACAAACAAATCTCAATCTCAGATAAACGAAGAAGATATAGCCAAATATTTCGAAAAGCTTAAATTACCAAAGAAACCCGCCTGTAGAACTTACAGAAAATAAAAATGTTTAAACAGCTAGTAAAAGGAAGTAGCAGTAAAAAGCGTAATGAAGATGAAGATATTAAAATGGAAGAATTTATAGATGCAGAACAACAAATAGAAAAATTTAAGAAAGAAAAATTAGAATTAATTCCAGCTAAATATTTATATAAGCTAGGTAAGGTTCATAAAAAACAATATCTATTTAAACACTACGGTGAACAGATGATTAGTGTAACTCATGAAGATGAAAAAATAGAGATAAATTTAATAGACAAATAAAGCTATAAATATGCAGTAAATGAACACCTTAAAATGACCCACTTAGGATTAATTGTAGTAGGAGTTAAGGCTTTAACCACAGAAAATTTAGGAACAAAAGTTTTTGTATGTTTTTATGATGATAGGTTTAATGATGTAAGACAAAGTATCTTAGGCAGCTATGAATTAGATATGAATTCAAAAGGAGGAATAATTTATTTTACACCAGATTTCTTACTACCAACCTCGACTTTTCATAAAAAGATAAAAATATAAATAAAAAGTAGGGGATACAAAATGAAAAAAGGAGAAAAGAATTTATTAGTTTGCACAGGATTTTTAGGCCCAGCAGTCTCAGAAAGTAATACTCACTATAGACTTACAAATGATCAGATAGTTAAGTTATTAGGCACAAAAGGAATAAAGGCACTACCAGCTAAAAAATTTAATTCCGATGACAATGCAGCACTAGATTGGAACCTAGGAGACTTTCTAGGACAAAAAATGTTAGCCCCTCAAGATAACCTCTTATATCAAAGAGCAGATGGAAGTTATGCAGTAAGATTCACTCAATATACTTATGTAGCACCAGAAAAATCTGAACATGATGAATTTAGTAGTATAGATAGGAAGGAAAATCAAGATAATCGTAGTGACATAAATCAGCTTTATGTAATGATAGAGGAAAAAACAATATCACAAAATAAAATATATAATATTGATGAGATAGATTTAGAAAATTTCACCCTAGGCGACATGAATAAAATATTAGATACCAGATATTTTGAATATTTAGCTAGAGGAGATACCCATAATGAAGCAATGTCATTTTTAGACCAAGAATTTCATACTGAATATGTAGATGATATCATAGAAGATAAAATACATTCTAGCAAAATATTTAGAATACCAAAGCAATCTAATTTAGAAGATACTTTTTATATGAATACAGAAAGCACAGAAACTAGTAACCCACAACCAACTGTAGGAGATCCAGTAGAACCAATGCATTATGCAGTAAGAGGAAGAAGACCATTAGCAAGTTCAAGACGAAGTAAGGTAGACGCAAATAAAAGTTATAGGTTTCATGGAAAGCGTAGACAACCAGATATGAGCATACAATTACAGCCAGTCAATAATCAAGGAACCCTTTTAGACTTAGTTAGATTCGACCCTCAGATATGGCAAGAAGTAATAAAAAATAGGAAAAAGGTGCAGTAAAAGCATGGATGAGTAATTCCTTTGAATCAACGGATATGTGGGAATATATGGAGACACTTTTGAGAGATTCAGTTTATAATATTTATCTAATTTTTAAAGGAAAATATGAAGAGACAATTAAACAAGTTAAAGAACTAGGAGATAACCCATGGAATTTTACTAGTTTTATAAAAGAAATACTTATAGGATATGACCCTTCTAGAAGAAATGATTATACTCAGAGCATAGCGTTAACTGAGTTAGATCAGATAACGTTAGGAAGTTGGAAATATATTGTACCCTTTAGTAAAGAATACTTAGCCATAGCGGCTAGAACTGGAAAAAGCTTTAATGAAGAAATTGGAAATAAATATTTTAGAAAACTACTCAGAGAACTAGGAAGAGAAATAGAAAATAAATAGTCAATTTATTATGCAAATTTATCAGCAAAAATAGCCTCAGGAGAAGTAAAAAGAAGAGGAACTTTAGGAATAGGACCTAGAATAGTTTATACATTTCTCAAGCTCAGAGAAAAATGTATAGAAGTTAAAATACAGAAAGATTTGAAAAAATAAAATTATGATTTTTGTAGCAGTGTAATATATACTCCACAGCAATATGAAGATAAATATAATAGGAAAAAATACAAAAAATATGAAAAATATAGAAAAGAAAAATATTGAAAGAAAAAATATAGAAAACCATGGAAAAAACCAAAAATTCATTAGAAAGAGTAGAACTTTTAATAAGATAAATTATAAGCGACTACCCAAAGAAGAAAAAGACAAAAAAAAAAAAACAAAGATATGTTAGAAAACCCAATAGTAAAAAATGCAATTGTTTTATATGTGGAGAACCCAATCATTTTGCAAAAACCTGCCCAAAAAGACAAAGGCCTAATACTAATAAACAGATAGAAAGATTACATATTATAGAAGACTTAGAAGAAGATATAGTTAGCATAAATAGCGATGATTCAGAAATCTATAACATAGTCAGTGATTATGAATATCAAATAAAAGCCATAAGTTCAGATAGTGATTCAGAACGTGATACAAACTCAACCAAGAAATAGGAATGCCCTCTTTTCATGACACTTTCTATATGATGGAATGTAATGCAGATACTGAATGTCAGCATAATTTTCAAATAGGACTAGGATTTGATACCACTAGAGTCAGCTATTGTAATTGGTTTCTAGCTAAAAATAAGATAACTCAGTGTTTATTATGCAGTATAACCTATTGTGTAGTCTGTCTAGAAAAATTAAACATGACACACAAGATAACATTAGGAAATAACAGCGAGCTGTTAGAAGATCAGAGTGTAGAAAGCAGAGAATTACATCTAACAATTAGAGAATTAGAAATACAAGTAAGAGAGCTTAAACTTCAAATACGTGAGATAGAAACTAAAGCTAATTTTGATATAGAATGTTTAGAACTAGAAAATAGACAGCTTAAACAGCAGCTAGAACAATTTCACAATAAATACCCTTTAAAAGATAAACTTGTGGAAGAACATATGGATTCTTTAGAATTAGTCAACTTAGTTGATTCTCAACCCTTTAGTCAATACTCCCAAGCACATTCAGATAATGCATGCTTACCATTTAATTACCCTGTTATATCCAAGCCAAATTTAGTTGAGATCTCTTGTGTAATTAAATTTGTAGAAAAAACCCTTAGTATAGATGCCATGACAGATACCGAAGCTAGTAAGTCATATATTGAACAACACATAGTTCCACCAGGATGGAGCACAGCTTTAACAACCCCGGCTTTAGTCAGTATAGCCGATGGCACTAAACAGACATATACACATTGCATCAATGGCGCACGGATTAGTTTTCATCATCTAGGTTCTCAAACTCAACATATAGAATGGTTCCCATTACCTTAAGTTTGGATTGGAAATACTCGACAAAATCGTCCTTTCATCTTAGGACTTAACTTCATACTTAGCCTACAAGGCGGCATGTTTATCAGCCAAAACAACATTAGTTTCTTCAAACGAACTGTACATACACCCACATCATATGCCCTTAGCACCATAGCCCATTCATCAAAGTTGCGTGCGAAGCGTGGTGGTACCATAGGAATAGATTCCGTCCCTGCTAGTTTTTTTATTTCCTAGTAGAAATATTTTTCCCGAGCAAGTCCAAAAATATATACCTGATGAGATAGCAAATACTTATTTAGAAAATTTAGACATAGAAAATTATGAACTAGAGAATTTAGAAGAATTTGATTTTGGAGAAAAAAGAGACTATTGGAACCTAGAAGATTTTCAACAAACAGTTAACCTGGAATTAATTTTTGCAAAAATAGGAAAATTAAAGAAAAAACCAGTATACAGAAGAACAGAAAATGATTTAGATGAAATAATAAGATTAGCTGAAACAACAGAGATTTTAGGAGAACAACCCATGAAATATTGGGAAAGAAATAAAGTTTTAGTTAGTTTAGATATAAAAAATAAAGATTATAGGATTACATCAGCATAAATAGATCATACGCCAGCAGATATAGAAGAATTTAGAACACAGATTAAGGAGTTACTAGATTTAGGAGTAATTAGACCTAGTAATAGTCCGCATAGGAGCGCTGCATTCATGGTTAGAAATCATGCAGAAATAAAAAGAGGAAAAGCTAGAATGGTTATAAATTATAAAAGGCTAAATGATAATACAGAAGACGACAAATATAATATACCAGATAAAGATCAACTCATAAACAGAATACATACAACAAAAATATTTAGTAAATTTGATTGCAAGTCGGGATTTTGGCAGATAAAAATGGAGAAGAAAAGCATACCTTGGACAACCTTTTGTTGCCCACAAGGACATTACGAATGGCTAGTTATGCCTTTTGAACTAAAAAATGCACCTTCCATATTTCAGTGTAAAATGGATAGTATATTTAATAAATATAATTTTATACTGGTGTACATGGATAACATATTAGTATTCTGTCCAGATAAAAATAGTCACATAGATCATTTATACATAGCTTTAGAAGAATTCATAAACAACGGAATAATAATTAGCAAGAAAAAGATGGTATTAAATAAGCCTCACATAGAGTTTTTAGGAATGGAGTTAGGAGATGGAAAAATTAGGTTACAACCTCACATAGTTAAGAAAATTTTACTGCATAACTTCCATCTGCTCTAGCTAAATTTTACTACAACTTCATTATGGGTATCTCCTCTAGCTAAATATTCAAAATATCTGGTATCTAATATTTTATTCATGTCGCCTAGGGTGAAATTTTCTAAATCTATCTCATCAATATTATATATTTTATTTTGTGATATTATTTTTTCCTCTATCATTACATAAAGCTTATTTATGTCACTACGATTATCTTGATTTTCCTCCCTATCTATACTACTAAATTCATCATCTTCAGATTTTGCTGGTGCTACATACGTATATTGAGTGAATCTTACTGCATAACTTCCATCTGCTCTTTGATATAAGAGGTTATCTTGAGGGGCTAACCTTTTTTGTCCTAGAAAGTCTCCTAAGTTCCAATCTAGTGCTGCATTGTCTTCGGAATTAAATTTTTTAGCTGGTAGTGCCTTTATTCCTTTTGCGCCTAATAACTTAACTATCTGATCATTTGTAAGTCTATAGTGAGTATTACTTTCTGAGACTGCTGGGCCTAAAAATCCTATGCAAACTAATAAATTCTTTTCTCCTTTTTTTATTTTGTATCCCCTCCTTTTTATTTCTATTTTTATCTTTTTATGAAAGGTTGAGGTTGGTAGTAAGAAATCTGGTGTAAAATAAACTATTCCTCTTTTTGAATTCATATCTAATTCATAGCTGCCTAAGATACTTTGTCTTACATCATTAAACCTATCATCATAAAGAAATACAAAAACTTTAGTTCCTAAATTTTCTCTGGTTAAACCCTTAACTCCTACTACAATTAATCCTAAGTGGGTCATTTTAAGGTGTTCATTTACTACATATTTATAGCTTTCTTTGTCTATTAAATTTAGCTTTATTTTTTCATTTTCATGAGTTACACTAATCATCTGTTCACCGTAGTATTTAAATAGATATTGTTTTTCATGAACCTTACCTAGCTTTTATACATATTTAGCTGGAATTAATTCTAATTTTTCTATTTGTTGTTCTACATCTATAAATTTTTTCATTTTAATATCTTCATCTTCATTACGCTTTTTACTGTTATTTCCTTTTACTAGCTGTTTAAACATTTTTATTTTCTGTAAGTTCTACAAGCGGGTTTCTTTGGTAATTTAAGCTTTTCGAAATATTTGGCAATATCTTCTTCATTTATCTGAGATTGGGGTTTGTTTGTTTGTCCTTCTACTCATTTTCCTTTTTGAAGTATTATTCTTTCTAAAGAAGCTAAACGATTTTCAACATTGTGTAGTTGTTCTGATAGTTCTTCAAATTTTTCACACAATCTGATTAGAAATAAAATTTCTATATTATTTTGTCTCACTGATATTTTATCTGACTGATTTATTTCTTGATGGCTACTGATTCCTTCTGGTTTATTATGAAAATATTCTGCTTGTTTTAAAATAATCAGGTAGTCCCTATTAGCTTTTTTATCACTACTCATAAACTAATATCTTATTAGTTGTTCTAAGATTTCTAATTTCTGTTTTAAATTATCTTGAATTAGATTAATTTGTTCTATTTGTTTTGCTATTTGATTTATCTGGCTATGAATTTTTTCAATTAGTTGCTTAAATTCTAACTCTATTTGCTTTGAGCTGCTAGTATTTGTGGCTGAAATTAGAGTTTCTATTTCTAGTTTAGTGGAAAATTTTTTTAAATTTAAATCTGTTCGTTTTTGTAAAATTGAATTACACTGGTCTTGGATATAATCTAATTTTTTATCTTGATCTTTGATTATACTACGAGTATTATGAAGATAGTTTATAGATGAAGTAAAAAGACTACTAATTTTATCTATGTCCTTTTTAATATTTTCTGCGAAATTAATCTGATAATCTATAATACTATTTAACTGAGGATTATGTTCATTATGAACCTGATGTGTAAAAGTATCTTCAAAATTACAACGAAATTTATTTTTATCTATGTTAAGGCGAAGGTTATGGCTGCTGAGTTCTAAATCTAAATATTCTACTTTTTTCATACACAAAATTAACTCCTATTTTAAAATTATTAAAAGCTACTATAACATGAAATTTATAACTAAATTGCCCAAAAATAAAAACTACTCTATTTCCATAGGCAAAATGCATAAACTAACTTAAACTGTCCTAAAATTGAACACTGCTTTGATACCAATTTTGGGGGGTGATGAGCTAGTGGTTTACCACTATTTTGAAATTGAGCTAAGAATTATCTAATTAATTCTACAGTTATGCTAATAAGTCTTCAAGCTGTTGTATAGCTAGCTGCAAGGTTTCTTGTTTTACAATTATCTGTCTATTTATTTGAGAAATTTTTAAACTATAATTTTCTAGGGATCTGTCAGAAGCTAATGATAAGAGAAATTGATATCTTAGGGTGTGTTTAGTAACGTTTACGTTTTCAGTTTATATTTACAAAAATTTTATAAATTGATTTTTTATAAACTATAAACGCGTTTGGTAATTGACAAAATGTTTAAAAAATTTTAAAAATATAAAAAAGAGTGAGAAATGGCAAGTGGTGGCAAGTAGCGGCGGAAGACGGTGGTGGAAAGTGGTGACGATGGGTGGTGGGTAGCGCGTGGTGGTGGGTGATGGCGGGTGGGTGGTGGTGGTGGGTGACGGTGGCGGGTGGTAGCGAGTGGGTGGTGGTATGGTGTGCGGGTGATTGGGGTTGGTGGCAGGTGGTGGTGGGGGGTGGTTGGTGGGTGGTGGTGGTGGAAAATGGTGGCGGGTGGGTGATGGGTGGTGGTGGTGGTGCGTGGTGGGTGGTAGTGCCGGGTGGTGGATGGTGGTGGCAGGTGGGTAGTGAGTAGTGGTAGCAAGTAGGTGGCAGGCGGTGGATGGTAGTGGCGGGTGGTGGGTGGTGGCAGGTAGATGGCAGGTGGGTGGTGAATGGTGGTGGTGGCGGCGAGGGGTAGGTGGTGGTGGCGAGTGGGTGGTGGGTGGTGGTGGTGGTGGTGGTGGAAAATGGTAGTAGGTGGTGGCTAGTGTTGGGTGATAAAAAAAAAAAAACCCAAAACTCAAAACAGAAACACATTTTTTGTGTTTTCATTTTTTGGCCAAATTTATAAACTGAGACCATTGATTTATAAATCAAAAATTTTACCAAACAAGTTTTTATTTGAGTTTTTTAAATTTTTATAAATATAAACTGAAAACGTAAGTGTTACCAAACAGCACCTTAATTTTTTATCTTCTAATTCTTGTATAAGTTCCGT